CTATGCAAACAAAGATGTCAATGTAAATTTGCTTGTTTTGTTTTTGTTTGTTACATCATCTGTTTGCAATGCGAGAAAAAACATCTAAAAGCATCCACTTGCTTTAGAGAACTGAGATGTTATGAACTGGTTTTGGACTTGATTCTTCAAAAGCAAAAAAGGGCATTCATGGAAAGATGACAGGATTTTTAAGAGATTATTAAGAAAGAACTCAGATCTTGAATAGAACGACGGATCTATCGCTACTGAGCTATCACCAAAATTCAAGGCATTCAAAAAGAAGAAAAGGAAAAATCTATTTTTAACAGATTGTCAAACAAACAAACACATTCAATAATCATTGAAAGAAATGAAAGCTGTTGTGATAGTCAGATTAGACATGTTACTAAATTTTCCTGCTATTTAGATGGAATGATTATACGTCCATTTCAGATTTCATTCACGAATGACAGCAAAACGAAACGTTAAAAAATTTCTGTGATAAAGACAAGGTAATAAGCATTAAGATCTCAAACGAAATCCGTATGTAAATTAAATTCCTGCAATCAATTTATTTGATTTATAACCTCGAACCAATTAGAATTACGGTAGCTGCAGAAACTTGGATGTAAGCTAAAGTCTAAGCAACTTCTCCTATCGTTGTTTCTTTCTTGCTCCCGTTTTCTGCTTTTTTTTAAAAATACGAGAAGAAAATTATGATCATCTACGTCCATGCATTTTGCTTTATCAAAATCGCTCTTGAAAATGCAAGTAATACATAATTTCTAGGGTATTAATTTTTGGGTTTTTTTTCAACACGTTCTTTTCAATCTCGTTTCGCCTTATTCGAAGATTCCACCTAATTTTTTCCTATCTAAAAATCATTTAATTTTGATGCCATCTCTCCCACAGTTTTTTTTTCTTGCCCTAATTATTCCAGTGTAAAGTAAACAAAATTTTGAGTGAAATTTTGCCATTTTCTAACTTCTTTTTCGTCATGATCCCTTTCCACCAATTCTCATGATAAAATCGATGCCACGGTAAATTTATAGGCAGCAAGGGTGCGGCTGTTCCAATGTCCATTGGCTAGGATCGTACGTCAGGTGGTTCGGCGGCCTCACAACATATGATGTAAGGAGTTGACCTAAGATTTTATTC